GAGGCATCATAATCCACTATTTGCCCTAAGATGATGTTCGTTTCAGCGAAGTCATTGCCCTGGTACGCGTCTTCACCGCAAAGGACTCGAATTGCTAAGCCAGGTCCTACGAATGACAACATTATTACGAAATTACAGAAGAAATCATTGTAGGGAGATAATAATTCCTTTCAAGTTTAGAATTTCTTGGTACGCAGGCATAATTTCTAAAAATAAATGAGTCCTCTGCGTTTACTAGTGATATTTTTAATACCGAGCTTTCGGCCTAAGCAGCCATTATCAAGGTAGAGCACAAGTTGTTTCCAATCTCTGCAAAATAGTCAAAATCAACCCAGGCATATTCTTTAAGAAATTTCAAGCTAAATGATTCCAGAGTTATCCTGTACACTCAATCCTACAATAGCTGTGAATGTAGYTGTGTGATGGATGAAACAAGTTGAGTTCTAGACCCAGCTGCCAAACTTCACCCTCCCCTCCCACAACCTCATTAAAAAGGTTAAGCCGCGCTTACACCAGCGATTTTTCGCCTGCGCAGGCGACGCGATTTTCTAAAATCAACGATGTGACTACACGAGCGACAATGCTGTATCGATAAAAAAAATCCTCATAAATACTTATTTGAATCTCCACAAAGAGGTATATATACAAAAACAGCTCAAATTCGATGTTTAGCTTTCATCGTACCCGAAAATCGCGTCGCCTGCGTCGTGTAGCCACGTCTTTAAGTTGAAGTCTGTCATACCTGGAAATGGATGGCGCTGAACGATGGATGATGGTAATCCCAGTTCTAGACCTAGCTGTCTTACTTCATCTTTATGGAAGTCTTTGAGAGGTTCAACTACACGACCCTGAAGAAAGATGCAAAGAGTTTCTGTTTGTTAAAGATCATGTATCAAAGTGGAGTTTGAAGGGTGGAGTAATTAATCACAACCAACCGCCATACCTTGTGAGCCGAAGCGCCATTTTAGGTAGACACGAAAATGGCGGATTCGTAGGATTTCTTAAAGTGAGCGCGAATCGTCTTCCATCCTTTCAGTTTGGACAGAAATACCTTTAACTAAGTATCTCACAGGTACTATCAATCTATAGAGTCAATTTCGTATGACTTTGGGAAACGTACGGTAGAAATTACCGCACGGTTACCGCACGGTTACCGCAGAGTTACCGGACCTGGCCTGCACAATTTTTGTGAACCAATGGGGCACTAGAATTTGGTTACAGTACGATTACGGTTACAGTACAGTACCGTCTGTTTCCCACTCATACGAAATTAACTCTAATCTATTGTATGCTTGACACATTTAAACGTATGTAAACAATAACACTTGCGCGCGATGTATTGTGGTTGGTTGGGATTCTTTAATCTTTAAACATTTCTCTTCTGGTTTTAGTTTGCTATGCAAAATACATACCGATTCTCTCAACATCCTTACAACTTCTGTGTCATTATGGTGAGTTTTGATAGCATCGGCTTTAGTACTAGCCAAATGGGACGCACTTTCTATTAAATCAGGACGAAGGGTRCCTAGAAAAGTGAAATAAAGGGAAACAAAATGGAGTAAAGGGAAATGAAATGAAATTACTGCACATGGTCCGTGTTACCTTGAGCAAGAAAGGTTGCTTCTGTATCGAGATGTAATTCTGAAACAACTGAGTCAGCAACCTATAAGATATCAGAATAAATGACATATATAGACAGACGGACATATGATTGGAAAGACAGACAGTCAAAACTGGTGGCTGTTTTACTAACCTTCATRAACGTATCTCCAATAATTTTTCGTTTTTCTTCAGGGTTGATTGTAAGGTTGAGTGTCTTTGTTATTTGTCTTTTGATAGTAGGTTGGTCTTTTCGACCAGATATTACAGTAGTTGCATTGTAAAACTGATTGGAAGCATTGACAACTGGAAATTGGATTAACAGACACATGTCAATCACAAATTAATCACAAGTCAGTCACATGCAACTCATACATGTATGTCAATCACATGCCCATTACATGCCAATAACAGTTCAATCACTTGTCAATCAAGCATGCCATCACATGTCAATCATGTGCCACTCTCACGTCAAGATCGCATACTGCATCAATATCATTTCGATCACTTATGAACTCCATGTTAATTAGCTTTTAATTATTAAAATAGTCTACTTCATGGTTCCCAGCGTCATCTTGAAAAGTGGCCATGCCTTTGCATCGAAGCGAGACGACCGTTGAGCGTGCAATGATAGAAACCTTCTTTCACACCTACAGACAATTATTTAAAGGTTTCTATCATTGCACGCTCAACGGCGGTCTGGCTTCGAGATGGCAAAGGGAATCGTGAATTTTTTATCGCTAAAAATGATCAAACATTGAAGTTTCTTCATTGAACATTAACAGTTTCATGCACCTTTCAGATTTAATCCAAGACATCTAAGTGATTCCTCCACTTGTTGGCTCTCTTGCTTTCTCATGAAGCCGTTATCAATGTGGACAGCTACAACTCTTTCTGTACCCAGTGCCTATAGTTTTAAATGAAGCAACAAATAAACAAACATAAAAGCAAASAGGTAAATAGAATTAATAAAATGACTAGCCTTGTGAAGGAGAGCTGCACAAACTGTAGAATCCACTCCACCACTGACCAATGCCTGCAAACAATAACAGTTTGAATAAGTTTTGATTTACTCGAGGAATTTTTGTAATATAATGATTGTAAAATTTATATTAAAGAAATTGCTGTGCACAACATATTATCTATAAAAACTATAATGAATTAAAGTGATTTACATGTGAAGTAACTGTTTGCACTGCAATAATGTAACAATAAGATAAGAATGTGGTTAAAATGATTTTAAAAAAGAGCAAAATTTTATTGAGGAGAATAGATTTTAATATAAATCAAAGTAAACTAAGTTTCAAAGCCACTTCTTACCAGAATCTTACTATTTCCGACTGTCTGTTTTATTTCGTTAAGGCAGCTCTGCATTCTGCTGCCAACTGTGTATGACCCCTTGAGCCCAGCAATCTACATTGAAAGGGAATCAAAATTAAGAATAAGCATCAGTCAAATCAGAATAAAAAACAGGGGATGTAATACAAGTAATTCTGTGAGGAAGAAGTTAATTTTGAAGGAACTTTGAGGATTTGATTATTTCTGAGTGTCTTGACAAATACAAAAGCACATAAGTAAGAGAAACCAAGATGACTAGAAATCTTTCACCACAAATAAATCACTTGAAAATGAAAGAATAAATGAAAAGCTAAATGAATGGATGGTTGAATAAATCAATGGTCGGAAATATTGATGGATGAATTAATGAATGATTAAGAGCTGTCAATAATTCATAAAAGGATAAATTAAATGCAAACTTGGGAGTTCATTAGAAGGAGTAATTTTCATGCAAATGAATATCATGATAAACAAATAAATTAATAACAAAACAACTTACCCCATAAAGAAAGTTTTTAAACATTGATATTCCATTTACAGTGAGATCTACCTCAGGATGAAATTGAACTCCATAAAGCTTTTTAGATTCATGCTCAATACCTTTAATAGAAAGAAAACAAGAAACGTTCAGTTCCTCACCACTCCCCCTGTGGAGAAACATCGCCCAAATTCCTCCCTATGGGGGGATGGATGGGGAACATTTTGTACAAAGACAAGAATTAARAATCTAGTATTATCYGCATAGTTATCATCATCTCTAACCTGCAATAATATTGCCAGATTTYGCAGCCACTTTGAAGCCGTTTGCCAACTTATCCAGGGAATCCCCATGAGTAAGTAAGACTTCCTGTGTGGTCTCAAGACCTCTGGAGAAGTAGGAAATCAAAGTCCATTTAGTATGCTGCGTATATCACACGCAAATGTATTGTCTACAAGGAACTTTGATAACCCTGTAGCCCTCAAACTGATGGAACAAGATATATACTCCATTAGTATAAACATACTAATGGTCTATCACTCATACTGCGCTGTGATTGGCTACTCTACTAATGGTCTAATTTGTGATAGACCACTCGCGTGAAAATCAAAATAAATAAATTATAAATTATTTTAAGGATATTTCAATTTGTTTTCATTATTTGACTGATTAGTATGTTTATACTAAAACAATTAGACCTCTCGGCCTCGTGGACTACGAGCTAATAGCCCATTCGGCCTCCCGGACTTGGCCTCATGGGCTATTAGCTCGTAGTCCACTCGACCTCGAGGTCTAATTGTTAATTATACTTGTAAATTGTTTTTCTTTTGTATTCCTTAAGTACAAAATTGCAAGACACAACAATAAACAGACACACATTGTGTTTATAGGTTATTTTATGTTCTGTTCATTTGTGTTGTTGTTTTATACCTGAAAATTGGACAAGATTGTTTGACATTAATGTTGAAAATCCCATCTTCTCTTTCTTCTTTCTTGATCACAGTTCCTCCAAACTCCTTATTCAATATCTAAAAAATAGTCCATGTAATTGGTTAGCTTTGGATGTGCATTTAATTCACGGCATATAGCACATGGACCTTTCTTATCTGTAATGAATATAGCGAATAGCTATTATCCACCCCTCCCCCMATTGCAGGTAGAAATATACTGATGGGGGTGAGGAAGGGAAAGTACAGAACTAACAAGTCATTCATACCTGCATTCCGTAACAAATGCCCAGCACAGGGATCCCAATAGCAAATATTGCCGGATCATACTTGGGTGCATCTTCATCATAAACACTGTTTGGTCCTCCTGATATTATTATTGCTCTAAAATGACAGCAACATCAATTAGAAGAGCTACAGTGCTGTACGTAGCTTATATTGACAGTAAAATGGTGATTTTGGAGGAGACAGGGTTAGCTGTTATCTTCATCATAAACACTGTTTGGGCCTCCTGAGAATATAATTATAACTCCACAGTGCTCCATGTAACATATTTTGACAGTACCATGGTGATTTTAGAGGAAACAGAGTCAGCTGACCTCTTAGTGGAAGTTCAGCCTAAAGTCCGATTTAGACAGCACAACTTTTGCTTACAACCATCGCATGCACCTCCGTAAGTCATCCTTACAACATGGCTACAACTGTCGTATAGAAAAAAAATAAYTGTTTGATAACCCTACGACAGTTGTAGCCATGTTGTAAGGATGACTTACGCATGTTGCATGCAATAGTTGTAGGCAAAGGTTCCACTGTCTAAATCAGCCTTAACAAAATACATGAAACTCACTTGTAATCTTTGTCTTGTAAAGTGAATACTGGTGTATCCAGTGGTAGCATATCAGATTGTATGCAGAGTTCGCGTACCCTCCGATCAATGACCTAACATAAAACAATAAATTACAACGGATTGCCCAGAAACACTTGGTTCTATAAAATATTATTAAACTCATTAATATTCATAAGGCAAAACACAATAGAAATCATAGCCCATGAAGAGAGTTGTATATTACATACAGATTTCAGCTCGCTGTTTTAAATCCTCATACAGATCGCCCGCTCATATTGTATATATTACATATTGTCTATAAATTTTCTTACACGTAATTCAAGAGTTTTTATATGCATATCTTATATCAATATCAAAAACTTGCTAGGGGGGGGGATTTAAGCATTTATGTCTAACACGTTTGTTTTTGTAAAATACAGCATGTAGTATACCCTAGTCCAAGAGACTTGCCTTGTATTTAATTGATGTTTTTTAATATTTTTATTTTTAGCCAAAAAGTGACAAGTAGAAACATTACTGGAATTTTCTATGCACAAGAGTCTGGCTTCAAGCATTTGATTATTATTGGACTATTTCAGTGTTCAAAAGATGTCAGTTAAAACTACATGTAACAAACCAACTGTTTATTTATTGTAGGAATACGATCCTTAACTATGACTGCCTGTGACTGATTGGTTTATTTGACATGTTTGATCATCGAAATATATGTACTGTATAAAAGATAAATTATCTTTGCTTGGGGCTGGTGCTTAGAAATTTTTGTTAGCATAGGCTCTCTCTTGTTTATGTCTTTAAACCAATAAAAAAACATGCATAAAAAGTTATCATTGTTAAAATATCAAGTAGTCCTCAAGGACCATAGTTCCAGCCATTGTTAGTGGGGGATAGACATTGGAATGAGCCAATTAATCGCTGCGAGAGGAGACCCCATCCAAGAACCTGAGTGCATGATACATGTAGCATGAATACGATGTAGCATGAAAAAACGTCTGAGTATTGCCTAGTATGCTAACAAAAAAACACCTTGTGACCAAAAATAATCCATCCCAAAATAACATTCGACCCCATATGATGTTAACCAGTTAATCCGAAGACTACGTGATGCGATGTCCGGATGYAGAGCTGGGATTTGGACCTACGATTAATATATTAGGTCTACATGAACGTGTAAACATGCTGCTCCCCATTGAGTGGCAGAAATTGCGMGAATACTCGGCGAAATTATACACAAAATTTTAACGATCAATACGAAATAAAAAAAGGATAAAGATACTTGCAGTTTTTAAAGTATTTCGATAAAAAAATACAAACGTGACTTTCCTCACGCGTTGTATGAGCTACATTTTTGTCAAAAACGTGACTTGTCTAAAATGTTGTCCAAATCCGTCCCGAAATTTTACATAAAATTTTTAGATCCTCCGACAAAACAACGATAAAAACCAAAAGCAGCATTAACATTAGCACACGCATCGAGCCTCTAAATTCAGAGATAAACAGATCTATCATAATAACAAATATTTTTTTCGATGATCATGTTTGACAACACACCGGCAAGCAGCACTCACGTGAAATTGAAATCGTGTCATACCTTTCCGTATTGTGCGCCTGCATCTAGAATAACTACTTTATCTGTGCACGTAGGCTGTTCTGGCATTGAAGTATCCCCTTTGTTCAAATGTCCATTCATACAAGAACCCATTTCACTTGTCTTGCTCAAGTTCGCCGCCATCTTAATCTTCAGTTCGCGCAATGTTTTACTGCACATGCGTTTGATGGTGTACCCGCTGGGCTTTGACATTCGATATCGTGTCGCATTTTCAAGAAGCAAATCCGTCGCGAATAATGATTAAAAAATTACATATGACGGCAAGAAAATAAGTAGTTTTACATTAGATAAAAAAGAAATTCATATTTTACAAAAAACATGAAGAATTTCTACATTATTTAATAGCAAAGCTTTACGAATAACTTCCGATCGCATGTCGAGCGCAGTCCGACTACTTCACGACAAAATTGTGATCAAAGATGGCGACCAAAGAAGCATTGGAGAAGAAGAGAAAGCAATATTTGTGGGAAATTGGTGAACTTTACGCTATAACTAGCCCCGAGTTATCACGCTATTACTTTTCTAAGTACCAGAGTTTGATAAAGCACAGTCAAAATGATAAAAATRCKGAAAAACTATGTGAATATTGTGGGAACCTCTTCGATGGAAACAACACGAGAACAAGAATATTAAAGAAAATAAGAACTCGAAAAAACAAAGATAGTCACAGAAATACAACTAAAAGTCTCAGAAAGAATTGTGTCGTGTCTATACGGTGTGGTAGCTGTGGAAAAACATCATTCAAGGAAGGTAGCAAGAAAATAGCAAATCTTACACACATCAAAACTAAAAGAGTYGTCGAAATCCAAGAAACGCACAAAGACGAGGATGTAGGRCCAACTACCTTACCTGATAATTATAGCTCGTTATCAAATTCAGCCAAGAGAAAGTGGAGGAATAAAATTCGTATCAACAAGCTTAAAGAAAAAGGAGACTTTTTTAATTGGAAAAGTTCAATTGTTCAAAAGCCTAATGACACCAAAACGAATTTAATGGCATTTCTTTCTAACATTGACAAGTAACGAACAAAAAACTCATTACCAGACGGCATTGGGAAAAGAACTTTTTATTAAAATATAAAACAATAAAAATGAAATTATACAATTCCATTTATAATAATATACACTTTGTACACAACTTATGTCATCCTGCAACCCAGTTCACACTAGTAACATTGCTATAATCTCTATATGTTAATAATCATTTTAATGATTAAAATTCTAATTTTAATGATTAAAATTCTAATGTCATGCGAACCAGGCCAAGTCTTCTCATGACAAGACTTTGTAACTATGATTCATTGTACTTTTGCATCCATCGTCTGAACCACTTTTCAGTCAGAGCAAGGTTCCACTCGCCAAGAAGTCTTCTCTGTATCATGGTCATCTTATACCAAGCACCAAACACCTTGAAAACAAAAATTATGATACAATAATTGCCGACTTGTTTGCCTCAGTAGTCACACACAAAGGAATAAAGTTGAGGTTGCGTCCATAAAGCTCAGTCATGAAAGTTAACGTGTATAAATAAGAGAATTGTCTAATCATTTGTGAAAAGACAACCCTCAAGACAACGTTTTTTACAATTTACTGAGCTTTATGCATGGTGCCTTGACTTATACTTTTGTGCTTGACTACTGAGGGGAAATTTGACTATTGTTTTATGTTGTTGTTTTTTTTTTATTATGACCATCTCGCCATGAAAAGGCAAAGCTATCTTTCGAGATAGCACAGGGAACCGTGAAGACGACTATTATTACATAAATCAGCATTATTTTAATTATTTTAATTTTAATTATTTTAAAAAGTGTTCAACTCAGAAAACAAGTGTCATTACCTCAGACAGCAGTTTCTTTTCTTCATGTTTCATCATCAATTCGGCAACTCGCTTGCGAACCAGCTGGTTTCTCCACTTGGACCAATACTTGGCATACATTTGTTGGTCACCCTGAGTAACGAATTACAAAGTKGAGTATAAATGATTTAAATGTGTTCTTCAAGAGAGTGGATTGCAATAACATATGAGAATATATGAGTGAATATGAGTGGCATATTGTTTCTTTCACAATCAAAATATTCACGACTCATAAATTCCATTTGATTATAGTAGAAATTTTACTCCCATACAGCTCTTCAAACATGATAATCTATGTAAATCTAATTCCACGATGAAAAACTAGTTATCCTCATGGCCCAATTGAAAGGGTTTTATTTAAAAATTCCCATAAATTACATTTTCATGTATTCTTTTAATTACCAAGAAGAAATTCAGTGAGAATAGAAGTAAACACTAGCTTTTTCCATGACACACATTCAATTAAACATTTTTTTTTAAATCTCAGCCATACTTTAAATTCTACCCTCATACTCACCAACACTGATGCTATAGATTTAAGGYTGGCTTTCTTYTKCCAAAGTCGAAAATGCTTCTCTACAAGAAGCTGTTGTTTCATCTCAAGATGTTTCTCTACACGGACATCAAGGTACCAGGAACGGAAACAAAGACGACTATAACAAGGACATTATAT